TCACCTCGCGCTTGCCCAGTTTTCTAGAAAAGAGTTCTGATGTTCTCCAGTTAAGTTTTCATAACGGTATTTTCTTTTCTATCGCCTGATTGACAAATAATATTGTTTTGCATAAATTTTCTACTTAAGAAAACTGCCGAAGGTAGCAAATTTCCGAAAAACACGTGTACCTTTTTGCTGCGCTTAGTGACAAATGACAGTGAAGTCGCTTCGATGACATTTGATGTATGATGTCAAAGATTCACTAGAGAGAAACTTATAGAAGTTATTTGTTATTTAGTTAGCAGCCCAAAGCTTGGTCAGAAAATATGGTGTAGTATTACCTGCGTTCGGCTTTCACGAACAGGTTTATTTACTGATTAACAAGTAGAGAAGCCTTGACTGTGCTCTGTTCTGTTGTAAAGCACGCGGGAAGTGGCTAGAGCACGGAAGAAGTAGGGATAAACACGAGAAAACAGAATAAATAGTTTGGCAGGTCGAATTTAACACTATTGCCTGAAGTTCTTTAGTCTATAATACAGAATCTGGAAGTAAAATATTCGACGAAAGTCGGCCGAATTGTGGCTCATAAAAACACGCAAGTTTTTTCACATGACAAGTAGAAAACAAACTGTTCAAGGCGAGTGTTTATGAATGAACGACAGCCGAATTCACCGAAACATGAAGATCGCTCGGGATGACAGCGTCGTAAAACTCGGCTGCAGTGACTGATGTGGCCTTCCCTTGACGAAAACAAAACTCGAGAGAAGTCCCGGAAAAGGTTGGACGTAGTACAATTTGGCAGATGGCGTGACAGCTTTAGCTCAGCTCTATGCTCTACACTCTCATAGAGCACGCTCTTTCAACCGATGAAAGCACGCGTTATATCCGAACTTTATTATAAAATAAAACAGAGGAAGAAAAATTAACGTGTTGGTTTTTTTCATCTTCAATAAGTGGCTCTGAGGCAATATGTCAAGTTTTTCGCGATGAACGAGTAAGAGAGTGGAAGCCCTACTAGCAGATAAGGACGCTTAGTCGAGGAACTCCCATCAAAATTTTTTGTAATTCCGAGTAGTGTAACCTTTGTTTTTGTAGGGAGAGGGTGCGACTTCAAATGTTGCGCGACAGGCACGCGGCATCATCTGTCAAGAATATTTTCGCGCCAAAACTGAAAGGTTGACACTTCGTAATACTAGCTTGCAAAAAATGGGAATCCTTTGCTTTCTCATTCACTCCTTTAATCCCATTCCTTCTCGGCTTTGAAGCTGTCCCTATCTGTTTCTCTCAGCTTCAAGAGAAATCAGCTTTTCACAGGAAAATACAGGCGAATAACATTAGGTCATTCATCCACCATTTTCAAAACAAAGTTTGTTAGGAGAGTAGTCACGCATCACTTTTACACAGGCTTGCATGGCGGTCGTCACGGAATAAACTTTACCAAAATGTCGATAACTTGTTTTAAGTTAAGACTGACTAAAAGTTACATTTGAACTCTTACCTGCAGAGTAAACGGAAATAGAATATACCTCTCTTGGATTTTCATCGTTTTTCATTACTTCAGAGATGTCTCGAAAGAGTGGCTGCGAAGAAGGCCTTTGTGACGAAACTTTGCATAAACTATAGTTAAATCAAAAGGCCACATTCGTATTTACGAACTTTCTTTCACGGAAAGCGTTTTAGTGAGCCTCGATTCTGTGTACTTCGTTAGCATTGATGTTAAAGGATAAAAAGAGAAACTTCGAAAAGGTCTCGCAAACGCGAGACAGAGATTGTCAGCAAAATTTGGCAAAGTATGAACGAAATATTCAAAGTTACTAGAGCCGACTGGAGCGTCAAATCGCTTGGTAAGTCATTAAAAACCCTTTAGAAAAATCACTGGGTGGCCATAGGGATATTTATCTGTCTATGAAAAATACAGCTCAAAGCAACTCATTTTCTTTGTGGGATACTAAGAATTTAGGAATTTTACAATCTACAGGCCCATTTGTTTTTACCATCTAGGCCCTTTGTACTTTCTATCTTTATCTATTTACACACGGTTATCAAAAATTTATTCTTGTTCTTTGATTGGTTGGCAATCCCATTTCTACACTTCTGTTAATGCTTGTACCCTTGCAACAGCGCTTCTGACAAACTGGGAACCAATGCCTCGCAATCAAGTCGAAATGACGTCACAGAACACATCAAATCTGTGCTAATCATCTTTCAAATTCCGGGATGTATCCGAAGTATTCCTTCGTTTCATTAAAGGATGTTGAGCATCGAGCGCATTCAGAATCCGCATCTGTACTAAAGGTACCTGCTAAGAAATGAGGAAATGGATAAAGACTATGGGGAGGACAACGAGAAATATCTTTTTCACGTAACAAATCGTGCAAACGTGGCGATGATTAACACTCAGAGATTCAGTAAGATTTGGGAGTTCACGGTAAGAACATTTAAGGGTAGCTTCCCAAAGGCAACGCCAAGTCAGTTTTTCAGCTCCCATGTGTTTTATTTTGTTTCATAAAAAGCTATAACACCATTCACAGCGCCTCGAAAGAACATAATAACCTCAACCTTCCATAGTTCTAGTGCTTCTCGTGTGCGGATTCGTTGAAATCCAGCTGAATATGAACGAAACCTTTTATTACTTGACCGATTCGACTACTGTTGAATTGCAGTATACCACGCTTTTCACTTAAAGTTTGAAAAAACGTTCTCCTACTTTTACATTCTGGAAACAAGTAGGAGACAATTTCCCTGATTAATACATTTCGACTACTTTTTTGTTTTCTCAAAGGTAATTAAGTATTTCGGGTAAACATGATAGTCATTAAAAACCACGAAAATCTTCGGATCTTCCTCCCTATTCACCACCGAGTCGAACAGGATTTCTGGTGTACTGGGATCTTTGGGGGGAGGCTTTTTCAGTCTTTGCTCGCCAGCAGTGTACTTTCCGACCAATACTCTCGCTAAATACATGCAGCGTTCATCATTTGGGCCTGGTTGAGAATACGTCAAAGAATAAGAGGCATCTTTCGCAAAGTAGACACCGTCGCCATACGCTGCACCTGTGTGGGGAACAAATTTGTTGTTTCCTCTTAGAAAGCAAAACGACTGCAGCTGAGTAGTTTTGAATGACAAACGCTAACACTACTTTACGTACAAGTCATATGGCCTAAAGGAAGCTGACGCGATAGACGGGTTAGGCAAGGCAGTATTGAGTTATTCATATAAATGGGAGGTACATGTTAGATTAGGGAAGGAAAACAAAGATTCCAGAGACTGATTTATACTCCTTTTAAATGCGTACGTACTTCGACAAAACTGGCCAGAAGTCCAAGGAATACAATTAAAAATCAGGTACAATAGGATCCATGCATTACATTCTCCCCTCAAAGACTGATTAATGCTAATTACAAACATTTCAATTATTCGTAGACTTCTACACATACCATGAACGCCACACAGACTTCTATTAAATCCCTGAACGTTGATCTCCTTCACGCTTTCTGGCCTTGTTCCGTGAAAGAGTTCCAGCTCGTTGTCGATAGTTCCATTCTTTTCATCCATGCTTTGTTTCCGCAACATGTACGAATTAAACATAGACGGATTTTGAATTCTCTCGATCTTTGAAATGACTACTTTTCCACTCAGTGTCCGCAGGAATTTCTCCTCAACCGCTTTGTATTCTTGAGAGTCCTCTGGGAGGCTGACCATGTAAAGGATCTCCTCTTTTCCTCGGTTGTCTCGAGGTTGGGGGTCCCATTCATCGGGAAGAGGAAGCACTGTTAATGCAACAAAAAAACCCTTAATGATACCAGTGAAGCTTTATGTATGACAATTTGATGAAACTACAGAATTGGGTTAAGGTTAAGGTTAAGGTTAAACTCCTAAATCAGCCAAGTTTATATGCAGTAGAAGTACATGGGTGAACCCCCTGAATCTAACTCTTTTTCAGTCTTTTCAAACACGCCTTCTCGTGACAAACTTAACCTGCTCTAAAATACGAGACATTACATATGGACGCGTATCACAGCCCTTACCATCTTTACGAAGTGCCGTTTTGATGGCGCCAGTTCTCAGGAACGTAACCTCTTTGTTCTCGAAGTTGATTTCAGCCTTCAGATCCCGATGAGTGAATAAAAGTGACGGTTTCTTCTCTTTATACGCTGACTCTATTTCATTATTGGCCATTTTGTCGAAAGCGGCAAATATTCCTCCTGGATTTACTAAATACCATTGCACAGTTTTAGACATCTGTTCTGCACGCTCCTCTTTGTGTTCTCTTTCCATCTGCTCTTGGATTACATCCGAAACTTCCGAGTTGACGTCCATTACATCTTTTGGAAGTCCTTCCAATGTTAACACGTTCGGTTCGGGTTGCTCCAATTTTACATCTCGAGCACGAGACATCCGTTTCAGCTCCTGCATGCACCTTTTGGGGAAACGACTTATAATTTCGTGCCTGATGACGCGAGGGTTGCCGCAGGCTTTTTCTACACCGTCTTTCAAGGCTGTCATAATTGCCTCAAATGACTCTGACCGAGCATGAATGACGATCTTCTGGGGCCGTCTTCTTGTTAATGCATCGATGGACGCTTCTGAGCCCATTTCGTAGTAGCCTTGATCATCGTCTTCGTCGTCAGAGTGGGTTGAGTCAACATATTCTCGCTGTATTGCTTCCAACTCTGCCACGAATGCTGCAGTGACAGAATCGTCAAAAACTACGAC